TCTGACACTCCTCCATCAAAGTTTGGGTTATGTATTCCCTCCCTTGAAATGGGATGGTCTTCAGAACTGCTTTGACCAACAAGTACTGTCAGTCCTAAAAGGAACTAGCTTCTGCCTGTCTTTCTCTGGGGAACTACTTCTGTTGGATCCCCAAGGCCCTCTAAGAAATCTGGCAACCCCAAGGCTGCGATTTCAAAGAGCACCACATGGAGAAACCATGCAAGATAGAGAGAGATGCCATGGTGCTCCACCTGTCCAGGTGCTCAAGTGCCCTACTGCTCAGACGCTCAAGGTCCCCTTCCTGTCTGGTTTGCAAGTGCCCTATCTATTCTAGGTGTCCAAAGTGTCCTGCCTGGTCAGGTGTCCGAGATGTAGCTGCCCATTCCAGACACCCAACGTGCCCTACTTCCCCAGGCCCAGTGTACAGGTCTCCCAGCACAGGCACCAGCCATGTGCACAGTAGAGCTTCAGGATTCCACCTTTGAGCCACCCCAACTTTGCTGAGCGGAGCAGAAATTAAACTATCCCTGCTGAGCCCTGCTCAGATTACAGATTTGCGAAGTGAAGGAAATAATTGTTATTTTTAAGCCATTGAGTTTGGGATGGTTTTGTTATGTAGCCATAGTAACTGGAACAGGACGAACAATAAAGAAGATAAATGAGCAACAACAACACACACACCATTAGTGCTAAGGGAGAAAAAGAAAGCAGGAAGGGAGGTATACCATCTCGGGGCAGGGTTGAAATTGTATGTAGGGTTGCTACGGAAGCTTCATGGAGGAGGTACTTCTGAGTGGACTGCAGGAAGTGAGCCTGCCGGCTGTGTGGCCGTTCCAGCACGGAGAATGGACGCCTGTTTGGCGTGCTCCGACATAGGTGGGAGCCGTTGTAGCTGGGACAGCAGGCGAAGAGTAGAAATGAAGCTAACGAGATCCAGAGATACATCATTAGGTTGTAGTTCGTGAGATTTAATCTTTACTCTGAATGGATGGATCATATGGTTTTGAGGAGGTGTGACAGATTCTTTTGATCTAATCAGATCACATTTTTTTGTTTTTTTTGAGACAGAGTCTCACTCTGTTGCCTGGGTATGAGTCGCTGGCATCAGCCTAGCTCACAGCAACCTCCAACTCCTGGGCTCAAGCGATCCTCCTGCCTCAGCCTCCTGAGTAGCTGGGACTACAGGCATGCACCACCAATGCCCGGTAATATATATATTATAGTTGGCCAATTAATTTCTTTCTATTTATAGTAGAGACGGGTACTCACTCTTGCTCAGGTTGGTTTCGAACTCCTGAGCTCAAATGTCCACCTGCCTCGCCTCCGCAGATGCTAGATTACAGGCGTGAGCACCGCGCCCGGCCCGGGCTCGGTTCTTTTGAGTGGAACTTGTCCAGTGACAAGGGCTTTGTATGGCTGGTACCACCGAAATGGAGGTTGCTCCAGCTGCTGGAACAGCTGTCACTCCTGAGCGATGGGGGGCCAATATCTAAGGGGCAGGAGCCAGATTAGAACTGGATGAGGCCCTGGGGAAGGCTTGTCGATGCTGGTTCCCTTAAAGACCGTTGAAACAACTTGTTGATAAGGCAGCTGAGTTCCATTGCTTACCCAGGTAATGGGCATACTACCTTGATTGGATCATGGTAGCCTCTCAGAGTGGAGAGGCAAAGCCAGGGGTGTTATCAGGTATTGGAGTCTATTTTAAGGTGGGGCTTCAGCGTGGTGACTTGATTACGATTGGGTAAGGGTCATGGTGGCATAGTTTGAGATTGCAAGCACAGTGAAGCCAACATTTTTTTTTTGAGACAGAGTCCTCACTCTGTTTCCTGGGCTAGAGGTACCATGGGTGTCAGGCTAACTATAGCAACCTCAGACCTCTGGGCTCAAGCATCCGTTCCTCAGCCTCCTGAGTAGCTGGACTACAGCATGCGCCACCATGCGCGCTAATTTTTTCTATATATTTTTAGTGGCCAATTAATTTCTTTCTATTTGGTAGAGATGGGGTCTCACTCTTGTCATGGTTTTGAACTCCTGACCTTGGGCAATCCACCTGCCTCGTCTCCCAGAGTGCTAGGATTACAGGAGTGAGCCACGTGCTCGGCCTGAGCCAGCATTTTGAAGTGAGGGTTCCAAAGAGTCTTTAAGAGTAAACGTATCTGATGCGTATCTATTGAAAAGTCAAACCTTTTAAATAATTTGCAACATTATCTTCCTGAAGTTTCTTGGAAGAGTAAAGTCATGCTCATAAACAGAATGGAATTTTAATGTCATGTTAGTGCAGATAATAAGCTATGTGGGTGTAGATGGTTTCAGTTCTCAGACCTACTTTTTGAGATCTTCTCCACCCCCACCTTTTTTTTTTTTTTTTTTTTTGAGACAGAGTCTCACTCTGTTGCCTGGGCTAGAGTGCAATGGTGTCATCTTAGCTCACTGCAACTTCCACCCTGGGCCCCATGCGATCCCCTGTCCCAGCCTCCCAAGTAGCTGGGACTACAGTCATGTGCCACCACAACCTGGCCAGATCTTCCCCCTTTGGATTCTGAGGAAAGCCTCATTAGAAAGGAGGTTTAACCTCTCCCAAACAAATTCTAACTCTGTTTTGACATTGTGTCACCTTCAGCAAAGGAATTACTGTACTTCATATTTTCGCAGTGAAGGGAGACTCATTTCTACAAGAGCCCGAGGCGGTTCATCTGATTGGTTGGAAACCGAGACATCTATTAGACCGCATTACTCACGTGGAAGCTCCACGTGTGGAGTATTAGGTGCCTGCTGGATGTGCTCATCTGTCCCTCCGGAACACTCTCTACCCTTTGCCGTCTGCTCTGTTGTGGGGGAGTTGACCTGTGGTCTACACAGTCTGCTCCCTTGCCTGAACGAAGCAGCTGATGTGAAGCACTGACCAGAGGTTAGAGCGTGGAAGAGAGTAAGCTGGGTGTTGTTCCCCTAGGCCCTCCTTCATGGTCCTCGGAGGCTGGCTGCATTCCCTAGCCGAATATCACAGCTCCTGCCATGTGGCTCTTTCCAAACAGCCTTTCCATCTCTGGTTCTTGGACAGGTCTCTCCTCTTATCCCTGTGGGCCCTGGGTAGAAACAGTTGCAACTACCCCCGAGATACTACACTGTCTCCTGTGATTTCCCTATGCCTTGTCCACACTTTTGTAAATGGTCCTCTTTATTAAACTCTACTAACATTACCCAATTTGAGGTGTGTCTCTTAACCTGTTGAGCCCTGACCAGTACAAGGCTTTGCTGAGTTGTCGATATATCTGTTTTTTTTTTTTTTTGAGACAGAGTCTCGTTGTTGTCCAGGCTAGAGTGAGTGCCGTGGCGTCAGCCTAGCTCACAGCAACCTCAAATCCTGGGCTGCAGTGATCCTTCTGCCTCAGCCTCCCCGAGTAGCTGGCTACAGGCATGCGCCATATGCGGCTAATTTTTATATATATATCAGTTGGCCAATT